TGGTGCTGCTGTCCGCCTGGGTGTGCCTTCGCCCCGGTGCCTGCTGGAAGCGCCCTCCCCTCGCACATGCCGGCGTCCGTAAGTGACCTCTTGGGTTCCGAGCACCTGCCAGGCCCCAGTTCGAATGCTCAGTCTCGTCTTCTCCCTCCACTCCCAGGACGCTGTGAGGTGAGGCAGCGTCAGTTCGGGTCGCGTCCCCACTCCCACAGGAAGGACGTCCTGCGGGGCCTGGCACTCCCTGCCTGGCCTCAGGCGGCTCCAGGTCAGGGGTTACCAGCGGGACCTCCCGCGACTTCCACTTTACTAACAAATTGAGAATAAGCACCACCTTGGTCCGGCCAAAAAGAAAAACAAAAAACATCCTATTCCCTCCTTCCCGGGTGGAGAGCTGTTGGGGTGGGCTGCTGGGAAGCACCGCCCAGTGGGGGACGTGCCCTGGGGGAGCCCACGGCCCCACCTCCAAGGAGCCCAGAGGACGTGGCTGGGAAGAGGCTGTGGCATGGCGGGAGCGTCGTTCTGTGGCACTGGGGGTTGGGGGCCTGTGGCTACTGCTGTGTGCCCATCTCCCCTGCGTATGCTGGGGGCCGCCGCCTGGCTCTCTGCTCCTCGCGGCCCTTCCACTTCCTGGCGACAAGAGGGTGTCCGACGTGCTGTGACGGGTGCGCTTTCCCCTCGACTAAGAGTGCAGATTTCCCACGGACAGTCCCGTGCTTCAGAGAAGCCCACGCTCTCAGCTTCCCTGCAGCCTCGCCCGCGCACAGGCCGCAGTGTGGGGCCTGGGGCCCGGTGTCCCTGAGGGTCTGTCCGGCTGGAGCCCCCTTGCCTGGGCCTTTTTTATGAGCAGGTTTTCCCATTTCCAGAGGCCACAGTGACAGCAGAGCCTGGGATGGAAGTTCTCAGACCTGTCGGAGGAGAGGGTGGCGCCAACCCCGGGCGCAGCTCGGTATGCGTTCACTACCGAGGGGCATCGTGGGGGCATCATGACGGCTGCTGTCAGGGCCCCAGTGCCCAGCTCCGTGGCCCCTGACATGGGAACAGCTGGGAGCACGGGAAGCTCTCAGCCCCGCAGCTCCTTCCTGCCCTGTGACCTCAGGGCTGTGGCGGGAAAGCTGCCTCCCCGCGTTCCCCGCCCCCGCCAGGCCCTTCCGCTGCCCCGAGCCCCCGTCACAGCAGAGCGAACGCCCCAAGGCTTCCCTGAACCCGTGGCCCACCTTACGGACCATAGGGAACACCTGCCTGTCTCCAGGGTCCTCAGCTGCCCGGGGTCGGGGCCCATGTCCCATCAGCAGCAGCGCCCGCTCATTCTGGGCGGTGTTGGGGTCCCCCATGGCCGGCCCAGCAACCTGTAGCCGAGGGGCATCATCGGCAGAAGGGTCTGGACAGACCCTTAAACAGCTGAGTCCCCAGGTGGGTCATTCCATGGTCCGGTCAGAGGATGTGGGGAGATAGGCAGGACCCCCCCTCGCACCCCGGGGCCCAGGCCCACAGCCCGTCCCGCAACACACGGAGTAAGGCCCGCGCTGTTCTGTGCCCGTCACAGACGGTCCAGCCCCGGCACCTCTGCTGTCTCCCCAGGGCGGGCCAGGCGGGAGCTCCAGCCTTGCCCCAGAGTGCCCTCTGTGCTGAGGGCTGGGCAGAGCTGACCTTTTTGGGGCTGCAGAGGTGAGCGGGTTCCAGGGGCCCGTCTGCCTGTGTGAGCGCTGGTGACGGGGGTCTGCCACCCAAAGCCACTTCTCAGCCAGGACCACGGTTCTGTCTTCTGTTGGCCGATCTGGTAGTTGTGGTTTCTCCAAAGTGGAATGTGGCTGCCAGGCCCAGGCCAGAGGAGGCCAGTGGAGGGGCCAGTGTGGGCAGGTGACCTGGTCACTCCTGTCTGTCCGGGCAGCGCTGGTTGTCACTAGGGAGCCCGGCCAGTTGGGGGCGGGGGAGGCAAGGCCCAGAGGCATCCTGGGAGCATCGCCGCTGCCCTGGGGGGCGCTGAGCTGTGCTTGCATTTCATTCTCCGCTGCCGCTGTGTCCATGTCTTGTGAACTCGCACAGGGACAAGGTGGGCATCCGGGCTGCACCGCCCCTGCTGCCGCGGTCGGTGGTTTATAACTCAGTCCCCGTAGACAAGCAAGATGACCTTCAGCAGCAAGCGCGATGCCCCCGTTGGTAAACACAGCAGCGCATGATTCCCAAGGTTCCTCTGCGAGCTCTGTGGGAGCATCTCTGACCAAGGAAGCTTGTAAACCCACGCGCACGGGCGGGAGGCGCTTTTAGTCAAGTTCTTTCTCCGGTGGCTCACTCTTCAGTTCTTGCCCCAAACAAAGACCAAAGAAGGCCCATCTCTTATTTGACTGTATTTAATCTGCCTGTTTTACAAACCGCCGTCCGGTGACGCTCGCTGTGAGGGCCATCTGACTGCACGTGAGTGTGACGACCAGTGGTTCACGTCCGTGTTTTCCTGCTCTTCTAAGAAAACAACAACAAAGACCGTGTGAGTTATTGCTCAGCAATAATCATATGAGTTCGTACCATCCTGGTTTTCTCATAGCATTATTATGTTTTCTATTTTTGTTTACTGTATATTGTGTGTGGTTTTATTTGGTATTTATTTGTGTTTGGAGGTCTTGCAATGTCTTTGTGTTCCTGATGCTAATACTGAAGTTTGTATGAGTATAGAATGCAAACCTGAAATGCTAAACTGTCATTAGAGGCAAATAAACCTGACGAAGGACTCTGTTTCTCCATCGCCCTGTCTCGCAGGTGTGGGGAGTGGCCGCCTGGCGCGGCCCCGGGCGGGGGCGGGGCTCATGCGGAACCTGGGCCCACACTTGGCGCAGTGCTCTCCTGTCACCACCTTGAAGTTCTTAACTTTTGGAAAAGGGGTCCTGGGTGCTCATTCTGCCCCAACCCTGCAGGCTGAGTGGCCAGTCCTATCTGTGGCCGCCTGGCTGTCCATGCAAGTGATGGCTCTGACCTTGAGTCCCAGGGCTGGGCCGGGCACCAGCAGCCACGCTCAGGCCTGTGCCTGACCCAGAGCAAGCAGGGGGCCCTCCCCCTCCCGAGGCCCAGCTGGGCCGCAGGTCTGGGTCCTGTCCCAGTGCCCACTCTCAGCTGTGGGAGTCCAGGCTTCTTGAGCCTCAGTCTCCTCTTCCGTCAGATGGGAGGGCAGTACCTGCCTCCCCTTGAAACAAAGTGGTTATTAAAAAGCATCCCAGCACTGGCCTCGGGTGGGGTGGGGGCTGCTGGGGGTGGCATCTGTCAGGCAGCCCCTCCAGGCGGGAGTGTTGGGTCTGCGCCCTTCGCCCTGCCCCAGCTCGGTGCCCACATAGCCGGTCTCGGGTCTCGCGTTTCTCTAGGTGCCCGTGTGTGTGTGTGCGTACAGGAGCCTGCATCTGCCTTGAGTTTCCCCAAATTATCGAGTGTGGGGGCTGCTTTCAGGCCTGGTACTAAGGCCCCGGGAGCCGCCCGCTCCTCCCACCACCCTGCTCCTCCAGTGTCCACACTGCAGCCCACTTGCCGCCAGAGTGCCCTGCTCACCCCTTCTCCACGTCTCCACGTGGGGCCCGGCCTGGGAGGGGCCGTCGGCCTCCACCCACAGCAGGAAAGGAGGGCCCAGGAACGAGCCCCAGAGGCCACTCCCGCCCAGACCTCAGGGCTCACCTCTGTCCAGAGGCCACACTGCTCCTGCCGTCCCTACCCTCACAACCCACCCCCACCCCACCCAGGAGCTGCTCGGAGAAGGGGCACAGCCCACCCACCCCTTATGCTCCATCCACCCTCCTGGGCAGGACCTGA